GTTTCTAAACCTTCTGGTAGTTAGTTCCGCAACCCAGTCACCTTTGAATGGAAACATTCTGTAGATAGGCTTTTTCCCAACAGAACATTGTGTTTGGGCTTCCATAGCCTTCCATAGTCTTAAGTACGAACATTTCAGGATATCCGTTCTGCGGAAATGTGCGTCCCAAGAACTTTAGTTCCTCTTCTAAGCAGTCGGGGGAGCATATCTTAATTACTCTCTCCGTCAGGCATCTAATTATGTTACGCTTTTGTTACAACGGAACGAAGATAACAAAGTGAGTTTACTGATCTTTCCACGTTTGCATTCTGTGGACCTTGCGTTCTATGGTCCCGTCAGTCTTCCTTTAAACATTGACATCAAGGAAAGTTAACTATCCGTTCCGTCCTGATTCGATAGTAACCTTGATATTAGTGAAAGGAAGAAGGCCTTCGCCGCGGAGTTATTTATTAGGAAATGCCAACTGACCGGTTACAGACTATTGAACAAGGAAGCAAAACTCTAATCTGCATCTTAGTTACAAAAACTGGACACCGACTTCTCCCGAACGAGTTGTCCTGGACTTTCCTGGAGATTAATTGACTCCATTCATTCGTCGGTCAAATCCAAGCAAATGTTACAAAGTGGTCCCACTAATTCCGCAACAGATCTCTCTTTTTCAATAGACGCAAAGCGAAATTCTACGAACAACACATGGTACTCGCGTGCCTCCCCATCAGTAGTATCACCGTTACATTAGTATGGATTGAACTAAAACTGCTTAGTATGTCTGTTGTGCTGATTTGGCTTTACATGGGACTCAGCTGAATTGCAGCTGAATATCAGGGTCATGATAACATCTGCCGCCTGATGAATCCTCTACTAAGATCAAAATCCGTAGTATACTGTCGAAAACAATTCAGCAACCTTTGTTTCAGACTTTACAAGTTTGTGAAGAGCAGTGTGAACATGCCGATTAATTCGATTGCATCGAACAGCCGTGTGTTACAAAAACGAGGCATCAAACAAACATCTGTCGGTTATGTAACCAAGGCGATCCATAAACTCACCTTCCTGTTGATGAAAAATCTCATATCAAGGTGGCTTTTGACTCATGTTCAAAAACTGTAGGAGTTGTCCGCATACATTAAAAACCATTCGAATATGGACACACCTGATGCCAGCCAGGTGAGAGAAGTTCAGCTCTTGGAAAATGCGCAAGATTCGTTCGTATTGGGTTTGCAAAATCCGACTGCAGCTTTTTCCCTACTCAAATGCCTCAAAGAAACATTTTCATGTCATTTTTAGCTGAAAAAGGATGACCAAAACAACTGGCCGAACGACTGCTCTGATAGTTTATTTAAGTTTATTAGGCAACACAAATTCTAAAAATTTCTTTGCGCTCAACAGGCGAACAAAACAAAATGAACTGAGGAACAAGATTTGATGATTCATGAAGTCACAGCATTGACTGCGGCTACCAGAAATCAAGGGACAAGAGGCGACTGCACCGGTTGGATAGCCCAAAAGCAGGCGTGAACTTCATGACCTGAAGACTGTGGCTTGTCTTTTTTCAAAATTTTAAAAGCCTGAGATACTGCGTTATTGGAAGAGCTGCCACAGTGTAACTTGAGTGAGTGCCACGGAAGAGAAATTGGGACAGTTCACCTAACTGTTGCCTACTACTTGACGTTCATGCAGAGCACATAAAGTTGACGGGAACCCGGCAAGCGTGCCTCAAGAAGGGCGAAATCGGTCACGGACCGCTTGTAAGTGCTGAGTTCCGTCAAAACAGTAGGATTCCGTTTACAAGACAAGTGCATGATGGCTTGTTTAGAGGTTCATTTCAATTCAGATAAGTTGACAGCCTCCCTAAAAAGGTGCGGTCAGGATGAAGGTTTCCCGATGATTCAGATAAAGAGGTCTATTTCACAAATTTTCCATTTCATTCTCGACTATGGCACATCCACTTGGGAGATAGTCGCGGGCATCCATGTGGACGTAGATATCTGGGCGCCAGCAATTCCAAAAAGTCAACACCATGGAGCGTGTTAAGTCAAACATTTAGTTTCCCGACTATTGGCGACGGGGACCATCCAACCGTCGGAGCCATTTTGGGACGCCCATACATGCAAACGAGCATATCGGAGTGAAACTCAGGTTAGTTCGTTTGACATCAAAGTTTAGTTTCTACATTCTGCGTTTGGAATCCCGAAGTGAGCCTTACCGGAGTTGCCTTATTGACCAAAAAGCGTTGCATGAGGCCATGTTTAAATGGCAACTAAATCCAAGTCCACAATTTACTGGAAAAAGACATCATTTTGTTTCTTGCTCAAAGAAGCACAAAATTTGGATTTAAGACAGACTTTAGTATTAAAACACTTCTGACGTGTACCCAACACTGAGTGAGAGCAGCGAAGAGCCAGAAGAATCCCCCAGAATGGCGGAGCAAAAAGAAGTCCAAGAGAACATAAGCGTAGGTCAGGTTTCTCCCCAAAGGAAGAGGAACGTCATCCAACTTGCCCAAAAACGCGGAAGATGGTAAAGACGCTAGACTGCTCTTCTATAGTGCTCGATGTCCACGGTGACGACACCCAGGTTGTTCTGGAGAATCAGTGAAACCACTGATATATTTGACTTAAAATCGCTTACAGTTTAATGTGGTTCTTCTTGGATCCTACGCCAGCATAATTCAGGCGATATTTCATAATGTAAATTATTCCGCCTGGCGTATGCTTCACACCTGAAAGGTGAGAAGTCTTGCTACTTGAAGAGTGGGTGGACTCGAACCCGAACCCTGTGCTTACCAGTGAGCCCGATGAGGAAGTGTAATGGTGATACTACTGATGGGGAGGCATGCGAGTAGTATGTGTTGTTCGTGGAATTTCGCTTTGGGTCTCTTGAAAAGGAGTGACCTGTTGCGGAATTTGTGGAGCCACTTTGTGACATTTGCTTGGATTCGAGCAATGAATGATGGGACTCAATGAATATCCAGGAAAGTTCAAGAAGACGCGTTCAGGAGAAGATGGATGTCCAGTTTTTGTAAATAAGATGCAAATGACAGTTTTGCTTCCCTGTCCAAAAGTCTGTAACCGGCCAGTTGGCATTTTTTAATAAATAGCTACGCAGCGAAGGCTTTCTTCCATTCATAAGTAGACAAATTTGTCTACCTGAGCAGCAGTATCGATCCGCATTGGGAAAGCCAGGGGGCCTTTTGTTAAACTGCATTACTTACAGCGCAGCTTATCCATCAAAAGTCGAGTTTACATTTCTGCAGTGCCAGTTGTAAACCACGCCGATGTGCCCTGAGGACCAGCTCTGTCCTGGAACAATTGCAAGAATCTGGTTGGAAGCTTGGATCAGTAGTGTTAAAGTATGTCGAATGCTTTTGGGAGAAATAACTCACCCGTGATAGGATAAACAGGTTACATTCACACTGGTTTGGTCACGTGCTTCACATGCCAACCGACTGACTTTCTCGAAAAGCCCTTTTAACAGACTCACGAGGAGGGTGACATCGAGTGACAGAAGGTCACAAATGACTTAATTACCAGCAAACACATTTGCGCTGGTGATTGCTGTCCCTTTGGAGAGGAACTCTGAGCAGGGGTCACAAATAGAAACTTTGTGGGACATGGCCCAATGGTGTGCATGCATATAAGCTTTCCTTGAACGTATAGCATCCCTTTCCGATCTCCTCACGCGTCAATTATGTCAACTACCACCCCAGTGTGGAGCTGGCTACTCCACCTCTCCAAATCACTGGTGAACGAAACTTTGGCAGCCATAACCACTGTACAAGATTTACGCGGTTCATAGATGATTATGGCGTGAGAAAAACGTTTAGAAAGGCATAAACCAAACTAAATCTCGTCGCAAAGGGGACGTTTCCAAGATGATTGCCATCCTACCTGGTCCTGAGAGCGCTTGCTCTTCAGGAACGGGTCACTGTGCTGTTGGAGGCACAAGAATGTAATAGCGACTTAATTGTTTGCGTGTAATTCGATTTTATTCATATAAGCATACCACTAGTCCGAAATTAGGTTGAACTTCAATGGTCATCCATGCATGTCGGGTTGCTTACCCGAAATTCTTACAGCGAATGAATCCACTGCACAAAGGGTTCAGCCTACTCGATTTCTATGGATTCCTATGTTAGTCAACTGAGATATATGAGGAAATCGCACTCTAGGAAAGGGAACACCATTCGGCCGACAGAATGCGAGGGGAACTGAATTTAAACCGCTGCTGAAAACACCTGGTTACGACCTAGTGGATTCCCAAGAGCTAATAATAAACACCGCAATCAGAGAAAAGCACCGTACAGGTGAGAATAACCACAGGTGGCTAACCAACTGTCGAAATTCAGGTGCACGGTTTCGCTGACCATGAAAAAGGAACATATGATAGATGGGAATTGGTTTATTTTAACCTTACTGATGAATGGTTACAACTGGTCAGTTTTTGTGCTTCATAGAATGGACGTAGCCGAGAATTTTGTAAGCTTAAATCGACTTTATAAATACTGTGAAGGGAGTACTTAAAATCCGCAGGGACCCCACAACCTGTTTCATCCTGTTCGGAGATTACTGAACAGGCAAGGTCTCCGGAATCTGCGAAAATCAATTCTGGACGTAAACGGTAATTTTTGAGCTCCCACGCATGACAAGGCAAACAAAAAAACACTACTTGTGGGCGGTTGTAGAATGCATGCTCATGTCACTCCCACCCGAACAGCCCCCGTTAACTTTCTGGCGCAATTAGTCTGTTGAGTCCTTATTAAATTAGGGAAGCACTGAACTCGAGTTTCACTCATATTAGCGCTCATCCTTGATCGTGCCGGGGCTGGAACCCCGTACATCTGACATGCGAGGCGGTTGTGTTACCATTACTCCACCAGTTTTCAGCAACCTTGTGAGTAGTTTCCTTTATGAAAAAAATATACGGCGATGTCTCGAATATCGTGCCAACTGAAACATGAGGCGGCCTGGGTACAGCACATTCAGTTGAAAAACATCATAAACGAGAGATTCACTCGAGTCTCCCGTGAAAACCAAATTGACTTGCGTACTTGCGCGGGATGTTGCCCTGTCGTAAACTGCATGTTCTTTGTTTTCGGTGTCGTGTGCGACAGGGCCGACAGTCCTTTGGGGGTGATCTCCAGTGTTTTGAACAAAAGCAGACAAGAACATCACGGGCGAAAAAACTTTCCGCGTTTGGAAATTTGTGTGAAATAACAACTTGGTTCGTAATGTGGCTGGTGTTGCTCAAAAAAATGATGGCCTGGAGGTGGGCCATTTGCACACACACACATACCCTATCCGACACCAACAGAGAATAATGCAACTTGCTTTAAAGCAATCAACATCTCCATTTGAACAGTTTCTAACGAGATACCAAAGAAAATATTACTTTCGACCTCCGGCGGTTGATCTTGTCACTCTTAAAGTGAAGTCTGGGTTGAGAACTAACTGAAATACAGTAAAAAAAATTGGGCTAAAAATAGGCTCCTCGCTCCAACAGAATGATGTGTAATACACCCACCTGGAACCCAGATAAATCTCTTGTTTATGATGTTCTTTTTAAAGAACTGAATGTGCTGCACCAAGCCACCTCTTGTTTCAGTCGGTACGATATTCGGAATATCGCGATATATGTATAGGCGGAATGCACTACTTATAAGTAGTGTATGTTTTGAGGCCCTCTTAAATAAGACGAGAATGTTATTTGGATTGGTACTGATCAGCAGGCTGATTCCCCCTTCCGCTCTGTGATTCGGTATCGGACGCCAGCAAATATGAGTCCGCCATCATCGCACACTACGCATTCTCTTCAGGCATTCGGTGCTCATGTGTGGTACCAACAGAAACGGTCATCACACCACAGACGCTGTGTTTTGAGACTCATTGGTGTAAATTTTCCCAGGGGGGTGCATCGGGCCACCTATCGAAAAGGAATGAGTGATGGGCGAAGACGACAGAGGAACGCCCAATGTCGTGGGTATTTTCGATCAAAGTGTGTTTGAGTGGCGTTTGTGATTCCGTTTGATCCGTTGTCCGATTTATTCGGCTGATGTCATAGTTCATCTCTATGAACAGAGAGTTATATTTACCATCGGGACTTTTGCCTGTTCAGAATCAAACTAAGCTCTGTCTGGAAGGGAGGTGGGTCGAGGCCGAACACTATCCCATAGGAGTGACGTATCTAATTACATCTGGGCGAGTTCAATCTCATTTGGGATATTGAAATGAATTCCGCTGTTCTAATTTGTAAAGAGCATTTTCCGACCACTTTCTGTGCTTATTTGGTAATTCCGCGCCCTTCTTATCAGTATTTTTCATAGGGAGACTTCAGGACAGCTTGATGTGCTCGCACTCCATTCTGGTGGTCCCCATTATACTGTGACGCGATTTCGAGAATCGCGTTTTCGAGGAATACACTCATTTGCAAATCGATTTGGCTTTCATGAGAGACTCAACTGAATTCCCCGCCGTAGCAAGGAGTGGGTTAGAGAGCATCAGCACGTGTACAGTATGAATGCTATGAATCAGTGTGAACATGGGAACAGGTTTGATGCAGACGATAACGACTGTCCGTGTCGTGGCTATCCGATCATATCCTGAAAAGCTGGGTCACATGAAGGCTTTCTGCCCAATGAAACTCATCACGCTGGTGGTGATTGATCTCCTTGTGAGCCTGAGCACTTCGGAATCGTCCCCCATTGTAGGTGTAAATGTTTATCGTTGAGTTACTGTCATACGCTCCGTGAGGATTGATTACAAGTCAGGAGAACATCCTGACATTACAACAGCAGTCTAATTGATGACTTAGTCACCCGTTAGTTGAGGCAAGTCAATCGCTCTTTCCTGGAGGCTTGGTGATTTCCTCCTTTTAGTTGAGTAGACTTCCAAGCAGATAATTTTGTCGTTTGGACAAACGTGGGATCTTGGCGCAAGGTCACGTGGGCTACAGTTCACAACATTGAGAGCAAAGCCAGATGATGATTCAATTTGACAAGCAGGTGAACTTCTTGAGCTCGAGAGGTCCGTGGTTCGAACCCGACCCTGGCATTTAGGCTACTGTCTAGACTTGGGCAATCTATAATTACCTCAGCTCCTGCGCTTCCTTCGAGTGTCATTGTAGCTAGGCTCCGTAAGGGTGTTTGTTACACCTGAGCGATTATTTTATTCTGTCCCTCAACCCTTACAGACTTAGGACACAGAGTGGTACGCATTAACACTGCCTGAGTGCTCTCAAAAGGCAATTGTAACTTGCACTGGTTCCTCTACTGATCACAAACACTCGACGAAGTCTTACGGCGATCCCGTGTCTCTTTGGTTGCCTAGGCAAGCAAAGAAGTCCGATGTTCCAGTTGTAAAAAGCGAACACACTACGGTACAGACGAGATGAATGCACCTATTCCTTGCGCACATCCACCTCCTGTTCTGTGCTTGTTTGAGGTTTTCACCTCAGAAAAGTGAAATGCTTGCATCTGAGACGTGCGTCTTTTTGCTGTCCTAATCCAGTTAATTAGTGATGCAGACAAACTGAAAGAATCGCACGTGACTGTCTCGCTCACGTGATCTTGTCTACCGGTCTCTTATCCGTACAGAAAATGTTAGGAAACCGATCGTGTTTCGGGTTGGACAGTCTCACATCTCCACTCGTTTCGAACCCAAGGAGTTGTTTTGTGTCAGGAACATTGAAGGAAGAGTGAAGAGCTTACGAATATGGTCTACAACCTACAGGTGGAATATCTAGGGGGAGTAGACGCCCTTGTTGCAGCACGTGTGACTGAAGGACGGTGACGCACACTGTTGATCAACGAATGGCACATTTTTCAAATACCAACCCCCGAAGGGCGAGGATTCGAATCTCCTGAGCGTTTCCAGTGAGGCACACTTGACAAAAGTTCTCAACGAAGGTGAAACAACTGTAGTGACCAGCACAGGTTAACTCAATTTGAAATCCAGGTTTCTGGCTGTAAGTTACCATTATTCGAATACGCTTTTGTATGTGATCAGTTCTTTACACAAAAATGCACTTGAGGTAGAACCGTGTTGTTCTTTTCACCCTTAATGGTTTCTAGTGGATCCATTCAGAGTTCCTCTTGTAGCTTGGGTACATTGATTGATATTTGATTAAATGGCTGTTGATCTACCCACGAAGTTTGGAAGTTGACTCGCAAACGGTTCATCTCCATTCATGGAGACATCAGCAGTGCGTGTACTGAACGCAGTATCAGTAGAGTACGGTCAATGTTTGGCCTTCACAGCTTATCGATCGCACCAAATCCAGATGAAGAACTCAGCCCAGGTACTTAACCCAAAATTACTGCACGGGCTGCATGCAGGCAGCTCAGATCTGAAGGCAGCGATCGGACACTGTCCAGCCCTACCGTTCGACCAGCAAATCACACATAACGGGTTCCCATTGGAGACCAAAACTGTTATATCTAACCAAGTCGCCGCTCCAGTGCCGAAAAAGACTCGCCGATAAGGAACACACCAGCTTTACTGCGGACAAACGAGTGTGAAAGTACAACGACCTCAAGCTATCTTATTGGACGGACCCTATCTGACGTTGGTCCAACGCTGTTTCACTTTGATGCAAGGCTGTCAAGCGCTACATATTGAGGGCGCGTTATCTGTCTGGTCAGCATCTGGTGGGGTCGAGGGTCTCAGATTTCGGGCGTTCCGTGGTTACTTTCAGGAATCTGACAAGCTAGTAGACAAGCAAAGGGCCTAATGTATCCATGAAAACGTCAATTCCACTCTAATACGAGAAACTCCGGTGAGGCAAACAAACTGGAGGTGAACTCGGCGATCGCGCCACAAACATCAGCTGATGGCTAAAGGATCACGTCCGATGGTGGACATGTTGAACCGACCATCACGTTCTGCTTCAACTGGTTAGATAGTATCAACTAATCATCTCCGTCTCAGTACGAGTTAATCACACCGCTGATCAGCTGGTCGTGGCTCAACGGGAAAAGCATTCAACCCACTGGTCCGGAGGTCGCCAGTTAGAAACTCCCGACGGGAATTTTGTGAGCAGTGCACTGCAAATGATTCCGAATAAGGATAAAACAGCCGCACAGTGTTTCTCAGTTTCTCAACACAGGACTGTGCTCCGACCTGCCTCACCATTTAACGTCAGGTGCAGGACGCGTCACTCGTTAACGACTGGCTACACGCCTTATGTGGGATCACCACTCGCTGACTTGTTGTCGCTGTGTGGTTTAGAAATCAGCCAACGCAGGACCGACTATCTGCTTGCTCAATTTTCTCTGGGCAGAGACAGCCACCCGTTAGTCGTACGAACGACAATACAAAACAAATACAGAACTGAGATGATACATTATCTAATCTGTTTGTTCCCGTTCGAACTCTGATTAGTAGCTCTGATTATGCACAGAAACTTTGTGTGATGTGGGCTGGAAGTATCGAGGATAAACAAACACACGCACGCGCACAAAAAAGAATGGCCCCTTTAAACGAAAGAAAAACAACACAAAAATAACGGGTGGTGTGTGACGTTGACTAGTCTCAGTAGTTTGTCGGAAGTCGATACGTTATTCGAGGTGGGGCGGTTGGGCGGGAATAAAGTCACCAGGGTTGTTGGGATTGACCAAATAACTTGAGAAATAATCTGAAAAGAGGGAACTAGATAAATAAACAGGACGAAACGTAAAATGCAGGAAGATCCGGAACAGTAGTCATGTTTGTCATCAGTCATCCAAGCGCTGGACGCACGAACTCAGCCCAGTATGAGAAAACTATCCACGGCTAGGAAATGCAAGTAGGCCCCAACGAAGACGAAACAATGCCAAATCGCATGAGCCATGGGGATGCGGCCGTCCATTTTGTAGAACACGATTCCAAAACTGTAGATCAATCCACCGGTAAGCATTAGCGGTATACCGGACCATTCGTGCTGAGCGAACGTGGAGAAGGATGGGTAGATTACAAAGAGACTATTTACAGAGAATTTCCGATATGCGCTAAAAAAAACGACAAAAAATATGTGCCTGACCACAATGGACGGAAGAGACTGAACTAATGGTGGCTACGATCAGCCAATTGGGTGTTCAGGTACCGGTTATCGGAAATACACGGAGATACTCATCAACCGTGGCAATGAAAGTTGAAACGGATGCCCTAGGGGTTATATCAAGTTTCTCGAATCGGTACCGTTATGCTGTATAATGTCGGGTGACATTGCGGCGATAAGGAACTATCAAGATCATACCCAGTGAGGCATATGTCGGTTAAAACATACTATTACAAGGCCCAAAGAAAACAGAGCTGTATCTATTCGTACTCATAATGCTGCTGAAAATTCTTCGACAGCCCACGACCGGTTTCGCTCTTCTTCGGGCTCATCAGGTAGGGGCACTCCCCGAGTTTCCGTCAACCTTATGTTCTACTTGGAACCAAATTGCACGAAATTAGCGAGATACACTCATTTACAAACAAATTTGGTTTTGCGAGAGACCCACCTGGAACGCAGCTGAATCTCTCGTTCGTGACGTTTCCAGGCAACTGAATGTGCTGCACCAGGCCGCCTCATGTTTCAGTCGCTACGATACTTGAGATATCGCCATGCACGTATATTCGTAATGCACGACTCATAAGGTTGCTGAAAACTCTTCGACAGCTGAAACTAGCCTGTCGAATATAGCCTACAAGAAATAGCATTTCGATCTAATGGAACCCTGAGACAACCCTCGTCCTACAAACTCGGTTAAGTTGACTAGATAAAATCATAATAGAGAGATTAATTCGAACGACTGGTGATACACTCGAGGGCTAAGGGTTAACGTGATACTGAAGAGAGAAAACCTGCAGAATGTCAGACCACGCTCAGTCAACAGGAGGCATGCATTTTAGCCCACAATGGGCGGTACTAACTGATACCAAGAAGATAGAAAGATTGCTGTTGATGATGGGCTCAAAATCCACTCAAAAATACAGTACGATATATTGGTCACGCCACGGCGAGAGCGAAAAAACTGCTTTTTTCGACTACAAACGTTCATAACATAAATACTAATAATAAAAATAATCGATCAGCTGTAACGTTATTTCGGCTCCTAGCTGCCATCCACTCGAAGGAATCACAAGACCTGGGATAGCGCCATGTTGCTCAAGCGTAGACAAGAACAGTCGACTTGCAGAGGTTGGTTTCGAACCGCAGACCTACCGGTCAGTAAGTACGCCCCTTAACCACTGAATTATCACAAGCCCAAACACTGACAAACAATTGCTTCTGACAGAGTCTCACTGAGTAAATGCAGATTCCGAGCAACTGCGAGATAAAGCACTTGTGTAAGCCCAATTTGGCTACATCACACGTTGGTTTCCAACTTCAATAATATTGTGGTGGCCGTCGAAGCCTGATGCAACGTCCCGGCAAGTAGTTGTATTCTGACAAACTGGGAATTGGCTGGCATTGGTCCGAGTAGGAGTCCGAGTAGACATGCCCTTAAACCAGATTCGAGCCCGTAATCTGTCTGACACTTGACGAAGAAATGTGAAGCCAGCTGAGCTATCGCAGCGGTTGATTGTGTGGACCATTTCTACTTTGAAAGTGGAACATGTGGACTTTCCACACAGCGTATCTTCTTGTAGATCCCTCTCTCCTCAAAATAGACCTAAACTGAGCCGGCGCAATACGCCATTCGAAATGCAAATCCAACCAACCGTTTTGAGCGACGCAGATGACAAATGTGCCTCAGTTCAACTCAGCAAGAAGGATCAGAGAGCTCACTGTCTCACGGGATGTACTGATAAGAAGAACTCAGCAAAACACGTCGATCGATCCGTCTGTCAATATCAACTGATACGCCCAAGTACACGCAAACGGACCTTTATATGGGGAAATGGGGCCCATTAGCCTCACAATGCTCTTAGCTACAAAACGTTTGCGAGTGGAATAAGATTTTTGTGCCGAAATGTTGCATTTTGTCACGTATGTTCTCAAAACAAAAAACATCATAATCTACGCTCATATTTTCGCAGTCCACTGAAGCAATCGTACTTCTGGCGGGAAAAGTCTGGTGAAATACTTCCCCAGCATCGCTGAGACCTGGGATGCCTAGATGGGTCTCAAAAGTTTGGACTGGTACCCTGAACTTAGTTGCCTGTCTGCTTTAGTCCATCAGGGACATGTCGTATCTTTAGAGCGAACAGTGAGGGTCTTAAGAAACCGAACACAGTCAACTAACACAGACACGCGCGCACGCAGGGAGCAGGAAGTCAACCGCGCACTTCACAAGTCCATGAACAATTACGGAACACGTGCAGCAGCCATACTGCGGAGAAAGCACGTTCCCTCCCCGTCCGGATTTTCACCAAGGAACTCTCACGAAAGATAAGTTCCCCTTTTGATTTGCTCCCATTTCGCGTTGCATTTATTTTTATACGTGCTGCAACTCACCACTGTGAACCTTGGTAAAGACTTTTATTAGTGCATTTCCCTTCTGAATCATATTATGGCCGAGATTGCGAGATGGCCCAGTGGTTAGAGCGCGAATTTACTGACCGGAAGGTCCGTGGTTCGAATCCGATCCCTGTATCTCGAATCCCCCTGTCTGGGCTTGAGCAGCTGGGCACCGAATGGATATTACAGCTGAAAGATTTATTTATTTACTGGTGGTCACAGGTTTCCACGGCTTTTTTACAATAAGTCGAAAAAGTAAAACTTTAAAAAGCATTCGTATTCTGCTACCCTTTTTTACCCGTACATAGTACTGATAAGTACCGTCTCTCTACGACGTGACATACCACGGTTGCAACTAACTGTTTATTTATTACCCACAATTCATTCGCGTCCGACTAGTTTCTTTTTGCGCTTAAAATGACCAGCTACTGGCCGACGTGGTGGGACGGAGCACAATGCAGTGTTCTAGATTCTGTCACTGTAATAACGGTCGTGTGTGAGCTGAGTTGTCGCACCCATCACTGCAGCCAAGTTTCCTGGGCTCTATTATGCATGCCGGGTTACCGCCAACCGAGAAGATCTCTGCTTTAGGGTGCCCGATTCAGAGTGGTAGAGATTCAGATGTGACATGACATAGTAGAAGGAAGTGAAGAATATTGCGAAAAGTTTGGTTGCTCTTAGTACTGTTTGCTCTCCAGGACGGGATCCACCTGACCTTTCTGGTGCGCGATTGTAGGCACTGGACAATATGGCGACCAGCCGATGTCAGTGGCGTTCAGGCTGTCAGTTTTTATCCGGCAGGGCGATACGGTAGCGAAGTAACAGTGCTGTCAATGGTAACTGATGAGAAAGATGATGATGATGACGATTGTGATGACCATGATGGCGATGAGTATGAACTATAGGTGCATCCCAAAGCGAAACTAGAATCCATCATGTGGCATTATACCTTTGTTTTTCCGCAGTTCCAAGGTTCTAGGTGAATTTCACGAACAGCTGCTTCAGTAAACTGCTGTCCATATTTCGTGGAAAGCAATAGTGCGTGGTTTTTCTTCAAGCTCGACCATCCATTCATTGACTTTCCCTTCCGGATCGTGGGACACATTTTTTCTTGCAATAACTGTCTTTGTTTCGAAGCGTGATCAACTTTCTATTTGACCTTGACTGGGACCAAACAAAGTGGCAATCTTTCGACTGTCCTGTACGGCCTTACTAAGAAGCAAAATCTTGGTCTTTTGGCAGGAAAATCCACCTAGTGCAATGCAAAAGTGGATTGCTTTCAGCTGTCAGCTGTCGTGTCTCGGCTTGGTGGGAATGAGCAGAAGTTGGTTCAATGCAATTTGTCTGGCCAGCGAAATGAAGTCAGATGGAACTGTCAAACCCAGGTGTTGTCTGGTTTACGCAGAAATTGCGTGTTCCAGTTTCGCCTATTGGACGACAGTGTTGAAAATGAGGATCTACGCTGCAAAAAAATAATCTTTAATTTTCGGAAAGACTTGGTAACAATCGGTAGATTTGTCTCTGGGCAACATTTCGCCCTGGACACAAAAGCTTCGTCAGGCCAAATGACTAGGTTACGAGGTTAGCGAGATGCACTTATTTGCAAACTAATTTGGTTTTTCGGGAGACTCACCTGGAACGTAGCTGAGTCTCCCGTTTTTTATGTTTCCAGGGGACTGAAAGTACTGCTCCAGGCCGCCTTGTTTTTCAGTCACTACGATATTCGAGATGCCGCGATACAGGTGTATTTGTAACGCACAACTCATAAGGTTGCTGAAAATTCGTCGACAGCCCACGACCGGTTTCGCCCTCTTTGGGGTTCATCAGGTTACGAGGTTGGATCGAAATTTAGGGCGGAAGGTGAACTAATCAGCCAGTCTAGTCAGCTGAATCTGTGTTACGTGTCGAACAAGGGATTTTGTGTGTTAGGGTGGGTCACCAAACGTTAAGTCGATGGAGAAACCTACATGGATTCGGGTCCAAATTAGGACCCAGTGTTGGAATGTTTTTCAGACGAGAGCCTTCCGTAAACAGGATATATCACAGTCGAAAAATCTGAACGACCAAAACTATCACCGTTTCAAACTGTTGCTTAGATACAAGTTTCTTACAAAGTGTATACTGAACTGCTGGAAAGCGACGAGTATGGCTGAGGTTGTTAGTTGAGGCAATGAACCAAGATGAAAGCTGCATCGTGTCGGGTGATGACGTAAAAGTCACATAAAGATACATCAACAAGTTGACATACGACTCGCAAGGCTGTTTAAAACTGTGACAGCTCGGCAAGAAAATATACTGTTGAATGGTACCGGATACAATAGATTCAGCCAGGATTCAGTCGAGCCGCCGGTTTTCAAATGAGTGTATCTCGTGAAGTTGCCATGCTCTTTCAGCTTTTACTCTTTTAGCAGGCCGCATAGGTGGAAACCCCGAAAGGCGTGATCAACTGACTCAAAGCTAATTGGTTTTATCATCAAAAATCAATACACTACTTAAATGGTTGCTGAAAACTCTTTGACAGCCCACTACCGGTTTTGTTCCTCATTACGTAGGACAGAGACTCAGTCCAGTCTCTCGTTCACACCCGTGGAATTCACAGATGAATGCACTTCGTGATAACTTACTCAGGCGCTGGAGAAGCTGGATAAATTCGAAACACGTTCAAAATGACATCATGTGCAAAGGTTAACGTTTTAAACGATGAGAGCGCTACAGATTGCATCAATGGAAGATTTATTTCTGCATAGGATTTGGATCAGCAAGCCAAAAAATGTGGTGTTACAATGAGAACAACCGGCATGCACTATGGTTGAACAACTTATAAATTTGGCATCCTTGCACCTAGAAAGTTGCGGCTACTCTAAACACCGTTAGGCGGCAGCCATTTCAATCGCGGAACACATTCGAAACCAACGATTGTCGTGGCTCGGTCATGTGCTACGCATGCCAAAACATGGTCTACAAAAACGAGTATAATTCTCCATACCTCCTTCAGAATGGCGCGAACTGCGATGTGAACAGAAAAGGCAGAAGGGTGTGAAGATTTATGAGAGTTTAACTGTTTCTGGTGGGATCCGCAATAAAGCCCAGTGACCACTGTGTTTGGTTGGAGACAGTGCAAGAAATGGAAGCTGATCAATGTCAGTTGCAATGGTGCTGTCAGTTTCTTTTCTGATCGTCTGACCTCAGAATGCCTGCGATGCGCCAGCACAAGGTCCTTCCCTCACCAACGCTTTTCTCTTCTTTTCATTTAGAGGTTTTATTTATGGTTAAATACAATTTAGGGTTTTTGGGGCAGTGAAGCATCAGCGTCCACAGTGATGTTGTCTCTGACGGCGGTCCGAAAAGAAAACAAAAAGACAAAGGAAGTAGGTAAGTTCGACTAACCTTGATGTCTGTAGCATTTCCAAGACATGTCCTCGTGCTAAAGGGCGCTTTCCCAACGACAAATCCACAAGTTTCCATTTAGTGTCCCCCAAAGACGCCATTTATGATAGTTAAATGCAGTGCTATGCGGAATGCTGGAACCACGGAACCACACTAGCCAACTCAAATCTCACGACCTAGATATCGTCCGAAAAACACTGCCTCGAATAGACTATGGTTGATTTTTGTCATCCGGAGGTGAAAATAACGGATTTTATCGCACGATGAAGGTGCTGGGCAAACCAACACACAAAGGTCAAAGCTTCGTATCAGAGGTCAGAATGACGACAATAAGTAGGTCACAGGGGTGAGCAGTGACACGGCTCCAGACATATGATTATTGCAACCTGCGCAGGTGATGCTTTGACGCATGAGATCAGGGGCAGGGCGGCCCTGGCTAAGGTTAAGAGTAGAGAATATAAAGGAGCGGTTTTCCATCGTCCGTTCATTAGTAGCACCCTTTCGGTGCCTAACGAGGGCCGGGATACTGTCAGGTTGCCCAAGCCTAGGCAGGGAAGTCGAGATACAGAGGTCGAGTTCGAACCACAGACCTGGCGGTCAGTAAATTCGTGCCCTAAATACTGAGTTATCACCCGCTTCCCCCCCCCCAAAAAAAAAAAACCGTTCCGCTGTTTTCCGTCACCTTGAGTGCCAATTGATGAATGATTATTG